AGTTCTTGTCAGCCGTAAATCCGCCGACACTCATGGACTAAGGCGGTCGTCACGAGGTGATCCAAGCAGCGGGGCACACTTTTTTCGTTTTTGTGTGCGTGTGCATGCACGTGTGTGTGTGTTCATGCACATCTGGTTGATTTATGTCAGTGTGGCCAACCCCTCCAAAAAAAAACAAAAACGGATTTTTGTCTTAAGGGGATCCACAAACTAGCCGGACTAATTCGATTCCTTCACTTGCAATGTAATGATGGGTTGTTATCGTAATAAACCAAGAAGCCATTTTCCGCGACTTTCTCTATTCTATTTTTCAAGGCTATAATTTAATTCACTTTGTTTTAAATGTCATCATTTCGTTGCTATGTCCAATGAGTTATGTTATTTTAAAGACTTAGGAACATACCATTCATTCATTCATTTTCCGAACCGCTTGATCCTCACTAGGGTCGCGGGGGGAGCTGGAGCCTATCCCAGCCGTCTCCGGGCAGTAGGCGGGGGACACCCTGAATTGGTTGCCAGCCAATCGCAGTAGGAACATACCATTAATGCAAAAAAAAAAAAAAATAGAGAAGAAAAAAGACATTCATGTTTTTCACAGGACAGTGCTGAAATGTAACTGGCGAATAGCATATTAGCAAGTCCGTTGTTTGTCGCTGCTCAAGAGATTTCGTTTTCCAGTCGAATGTCAGTTTCGCAATGTTTGGGACTTGTCGGAAATGAGGGGGAACCAAGCAACTGAGTAAATTGTCACCGGCCAAAGGCCAGACGACTTTGTCCAACAGGGCTCGAGGGACGCAACAAAGGCACGAGATAAATAAATAAAGAGGAACAATGTGCCAGTTTGTTCTTTTCTCAAAAGTGAGAGAAATTCTGATGACTACCAGACCTTGGTGACTGCAAAGCCATGTTTTGAAAACAGCTCAAAAGCTGACGTGTGTTTAAATTTGACGTATAAGGAGTAAGGAGACTCCGTCTGGGAGATTTGATCCATTTGGGTCTCGTGCAAACGGTCCCGACATTACAGGCTGTTTAATACTCGATACAGGCCACGTCACCGATGTTATTAGCGTGGATGGTGGGAGGAAGCCGAGGAAGGTTTACTGTCTAGACAACAAGGTGAATTAAAATCTTGGTGTGACTCTGCTCCAATAACTACTTGTCTGTTTCCAGATGGAAGCAGCTCATTAAGGAGAGTGCAAGGGGGAAATTAGCCTCGTGGTCGCCTCAAGGTAAAAAGATTTGGTGAAGATTTGTTGCTGAACTGCAGTTCTAGAACAACAACTTGGTTGATTTATTGCCTCGTTTGGGAAGCCAGGAAACGAGGAGCCAAACAGTCCGAACTTGGCCGTTCCCAGTTTTTAAGTTTTAGCTCTTTAGTCTTTGACATTTTGCTCACAAAGTCGGGTCTCCGTAGTCAGTCAGATGCTTTGTGCGCTGCACTACTAGCCCCATCCCATGGAGTGTACCATACCATGTTCGGATGTATGAGCTAGGGATGAGTGAGCACCAATATCAGAGTATCAGTCTGGGGTCGATTGCAGCCTTATTTTTTAGATACCGGGTACTCACAGAGGCTGCCGATACCAGCCACCGATACTTCAAGATCTGACATCGAGTCAGTTCTCTTTGGCAGTGGTTTAACGCTATCCTGTGGCAAATCATCATGTGTCGGAAATAAGGGTTCTGTTGACAATGCTTTGTCATTGTGTGAAATGAAATTTTATACATCAAAGGTCATCCTCACTGGGGTCATGGGTGTGCTAGAGCCTATCCCACTGGACTTTGGGCAACTTCAGGCTACACCCTGAAATGGTCATCAGCCAATCGCAGGGATTGGAATGTCTTTTTCCAAGGTTTGGATATCTTTCATGTGTATGGGAGGTTTGACGACCGTATTTTCCGCACTAGAAAGGCGCACCTTCCATTTTCTTCAAAGCTCACAGCGCGCCTTAAAATCCGATGCGCCTTGTGTATGGTCATTACGGTAATATGTCAACCGCAAAATGGCTCCTTGCTCGAGACATGCTTACAACGCAGAGTTCAAACTTAAGGCGATCGGTTTCACAGTTCAACACGGAAATAGAGCAGCGGCAAGAGAGTTCAACCTTATCGAGTCAAAGTTATAACTTGCTGTTGGTTAAATGAACTATGTCGCCGCATTATTAAATATGTTTTACTGACATCTGATCGTCGCTATATAAATCAGGGTGTAGTGTAGTGTTCTGCATTTCCTTGTGCGTATCTCCATCTAGTGGATGCATTCTAGATTGCGTCTTATAATGTGGTGCGGCCAATATATGAAAAAAATTACAAAATAGGCCATTCATTGAAGGTGCACCTCATAATCCAGTGCACCTTTTAGTGTGGAAAATGGTAGTGTAAAAATCGATGAGTTTTTTGTCTACGCCAGGTAGTTGCTGTCCCAGTGTCAAGAAAGTTACCCGTTCGATGATGCAGGCACGTTTTTGAATTTTCGACTCATTATCCTGTTTAGAATTGCAGGTCTAATTTAGCTAATCCCATATCAGCAAGAGAAGAAGCGTGCAACCTGGGCTCGTCGCCAGTCATTGACAGGGGGCATATTGACAAACAACCATTCCCAGATAGGGCATTGGCCAATATAGAAATCACCCATGTAACCACAGGGAGAAGATACAAACTCCACATTGGAAAGATCTGAGCGAATACTCAAGTAAGCAAAGGGGAAAAAAATGCCAAAACATTGGAAAGATCTGAGCGAATACTCAAGTAAGCAAAGGGGAAAAAAAATGCCAAAACAATCTCAGGGATTGTTTTGGAACAAGAAGTCAGAGAAGTGTGAGTCTGTTGCAAAATGCCTTTTGGCAAACTTGCATGGGGCTTTTCATTGGCTGTTGCTCGTAAACACAATTGGCTCAGAGGCAGCAAGGTATTAAGAGGTGCGCCCACGAGCCCCTGCATCCCATACGTACTGATGGCCTCTATCAAGGTGTGTGAACTACTTTGTCGCCAATATATATATATATATATATATATATATATATTGTGTGTGTGTGTGTGTGTGTGTGTGTGTGTGTGTGTGTGTTTTAATGAATTAGTAAAAAGGAAAATTTGACTTGGCATGTTTTCTTAACACTTTAAGGCATAGCGGTTACTACAGTGGACAGCTTATAATGTTATCAGGTTACATGTTGCATGAAAGGGTTAAAATCAGGTAAACACTGGATTGTGCTATTTTTATTTCTTTTATTTGTACTTTGGTATAATGTATTATCTGTTGTATTGATTGAAATCATGTCACTCACCACGCTATTGTAAGTGTCTGGTCATCTTAATATAGACCCCAATGCAGTTGTCACTCTGCAGTCTAGACAGCAGTTGTCAAGTGTGAACGGCTCTACGCAGGGGATTGAACTTTTTTTCTCCTTTAACTGTACTTGCCTCATGATGCAATTAATCAAACGACAGAAATTGTGGATTATTGACCAAGTATTTTTTGCCCTAAGACAACACAAATGCTAAGTGGCAACACTTGCCTGCAATACATGGAAGAAAATATCACCCAACCATTTTCCATAGCGCTGACATTTGAACCCAGAACCTTCGAACTGTAAAGTTGACATGCTTACCGCAAATATAGAGCGTTGCTCTGGACTGACAAAAAGCGCCATGTACTGTACGATGTTGATATTTTGTCAGCCACGCTTCCACTCCAGTGTTTGGATTGCACAACGACCAGGTTGCTCATTGCGCTTAGACAATTGCATTTTGGAGAGATGCGGGGCCTTTTTAAGAGACCACAGAGCTTTTTCGGGATAAAGTAACAGGATATTCCACTTATGGGAAGTTGAGGGGGTGGGAGTGGGTGGTTTTTTTTTTCCCCTCTCAGAAAAGATGAAGTAATCTCCCCTTGGACACATGTTCCCAAATGTAATTTATGGACCCCGTTTTTGCACTTAAGTACCTTCATTCCTTACTTTCCTCCCCTTTGTCCCTCTCCTACCTCTGTGCAGTCGATAACGGATTCCCAAGCAACGGGAAACGTTTGTGCAACGCACATATTTCCACGGTTTACAATCTCCGAGCCCCCTTTTAACCCTTTCATGCACCCTGTAACCCGATAAGATGTCCACTGCAGTAACCACTGTGCCTGAAAGGGTTAATGATGATGCAACCGGGGTGATTTTTATAACCCATACATCCAGTTCACCTCTTACCCAACTTCTTCAATCCTCTTCACGCTCCTCTAGGAATGCCGAAAAAAATAAACCACCGACATTATACAGTGTCTAGCCACCTGCCGAGATTCAACCACAGTAGATCTTTTGATGCCTCTGCACCACATGACAGAAGAGAAACATACAAGAGAATACGTACTGTGTTTCAATAAGACTTGTGAAAAATAGTCGCTAACTCCTCATTTTCTTTTGCCTACATCCTTTTCTCCATCCCGTTTAGTTTTCTTCCCTAGCTATTCCCTCTAGTCATTAGGAGGACAAAGCAAAGGTTCATGTGGCTGTGTCGCAACGTGAGTGATGGCTCCAGTGCATTGTGGGTAACTTAATCCAGCTGTGATGGCGATTGCGCCTCGGCTGCTGTTCACCGTGTAGGCTGTTGGTCTCAGGTATGCGTGCCGACCTGCTTTGCGTCACGTCAATGGCCACGTTTCTGTTTGACGTTGCAAATGGCAGAGGTTCCATGTGAACGAGAAAACTGTGTCACATTTAATAAGGACTTTGAAAAAGTAGGAACTGGCTTTGTAGGTCTTCTTGACAGATTCTTGGCTTCGGCTTAGGTGACGCAGTCAGTCCTGAAGGCCTTACAAAAAAACAACATGGCTTTAAAAAAGAAGGTATATAAAGTAGGACTAAATTGGAATTAAAATAAAGATTGAGGGTCTGTCTGAAAGAAACACCTTTACAAACCACCTGTTCATCATTTATTTCCAGTTTCTGTGGCCAACCAAAGACACAAATCAAAATTAACACCTTCCTTTTGTCTGTTTCCGTTTTGTCTTTCAGAGTTCCAAGCCCTGGAATGACCATGTTGTTTAATCTCGTGCTCCTCTTCCTCTCCTCAAGTCTGGTTTTATCCATCGAGTGCCCAGAAGATTGTACTTGTAACAGTCCAGGTTCAATATTCTGCATCGTTCGACGGTCCAACACTGTGCCCCGGGTTCCATCCAGCACCATCAATCTTTACATCTTCCAAAACGGCATCAATGCTCTGACCCAAAATGACTTTGTGGGTCTAGGAGACTTGGATTTGCTAGATCTGAGCCAGAATGAGCTGAGAGAGGTTCCAGATGGTGTATTCAAGATGCTGTCGAAGCTGAAGAACTTGGACTTGTCCTCCAACGTCATCACTCACATTTCCAAAGAGAGCTTTTCTGGCTTGGTCCAGCTGGAGAGACTGTATCTCCACCAAAATCACATCCAGAGCATCCAACGAGAAGCTTTTGAAGGTTTAGAAATGCTACTGGAACTCAAGCTCCAAGGGAACAAACTCACATCTTTGCCCTCTCTTAATTTACCCAGGCTTCTGCTTCTAGACCTGAGTTACAACAACATCCCCACCTTGCATGTCTCAGACCTTCAGACACCCCACTTAGAAACCCTGAAAATGGCGTCTGTCGGGCTTGTTTCTCTAGATGAAGATCTTGTCGCTTTTCTAGGGAACCTCCACGAGCTAGACATCTCCGTGAACCAACTCACGGCGGTTCCCCAAGCCCTAAAGAAGGACTCCCTAAAGGGCTTGATCAAGCTCAATCTGGCTGCCAACCCACTGGGTGAGCTCAGGACAGAAGACTTTCAGAAACTCACCGGGCTCCAAGAATTAGATCTCAGTAGTCTCAATCTTCAGGGCTTTCCCCAAGACTTTTTCCAGTCTTTCCCCAAACTTGTACATCTGGCAGCAGCTGAAAACCCATTCAATTGTTTGTGCCCCCTCGCTTCGTTTGTGGTTTGGCTGAAAGAGAAGAATATAAATCTGGGGAGGCTGAGGGAGACCAGGTGCCACTTCCCTCTAGCTAATGCCGGGAAGATGCTTTCAGCACTGGACCATACAGATTTTGGATGTCCACCGACCACAACTTTACTGATGAAATCACCCATGGGGAGTACTCCAGCGCCACAGGATGCTACGACATTCCAAGAAACAACCCATACCAATGCAATTCCTCCTCCTCCACCACCACCACCAAGTGAACAAAGCCCGGACTCAAAAACAGACCCGCTTCCATCAGAGGTTACCGCCTCTCCAAGCTTCACCAGTGGGAAATATGACCAGCACATCTGTCCACCAAATATTTGTCTCAACGGTGGCATTTGTAACTTTGACCCAATAGGGCAACTGGGCTGTCTGTGTCCTTCAGGAACATCTGGACTCTACTGTGAAAATGTTGACAATGCTACGGAACCACCAAAACCTCCGGGAACAGAAGTGTCTGTTGAGGATTCCACGGTTCTTGCAGAACTTGATGCCATCAGCTCCCGCCAGGTGACCTCCACCTCTATTCTTCTCGATCTACACCTCTTCATTAAGACACGGCCAAATATCCGTGGCATCAGGCTGACCTACCGCAATCTCTCTGGCCCCGACCGCCGCCCCATTATTTTGAGCGTGCCGGCATCCTACCCGGAGTACACCCTGCGTGGACTCAGACCCAACTGTACCTACTCTGTCTGCGCGAGCCCCCTCGGGGAGAGAATGACCACAAGGGCAAACAGCTCAGTGGAGACGGGGTCATGTACAGAAGCTCGGACGGCAGGGGTTCCACTGACATCCTTAGAACCCCGAGTGGAGACGCAAAGCTCACTCATGAATACTCTCATTCCTGCAATAGCCGCTCTAGCACTGGTGCTGGGGTTGGCATTGGTGGTCGGTCTGATCATCTGTCTCCGGAAAAAGAGGCAGCGTAAAGCGGGAATGGAGCTCGAGCTGGGTCCTGCAGATCCTGACGATTCATTGGAAGTGGACGGCATCAAGGCATGTCCGGAAGATGGGGGAAACGGCCCACTGCCCCACAAGCAGACAGAAACTGACCGTTGTCACACTCGACAACCAGCCACATCGTTGCAACAAAACGGCAATTTGGACTATCAGGTCCCCCTGATGCAAGGACACTCCCCCTCAAATAACAGTCGATCATCCCTAAAGCCATCGTATTTCTAAGATGCAATAATATATGAACACTTTGGAAGCCCGGCCCATCACCTGCGTAGTGGTTTCAGCATTCTAAGGTTTTGTCCCAGTTTCAATGCGGCACTTTTCCTTTGTTTTGTAAGACGATACCACTACTGACTGAAATGACGATTCAGACAATAAGGAGTCGCACTCGAGTCGCACTCACATTTGCAGCATGTTGGAAATGAGCCGAGTCACGGCGGGACAACAAGCAGGCTGCAGTTTTCAAATGGGTTTGATGGTGAGAAAAAAGCCAACCAAGTGATGTAACAAAGTGCAATTGACAAGAAAAAGTCCAAGCGAAAAAGTGCCATTATTTTTAACATGGACACAACCTTTGATAATGGTTTGTTTTAAAACTGTTTCTTGTTCGAGAAACATTGAATGAGTTGTAAATCTGTTGCTGGACTTGGAAGTGAAACTTGAGGGAAGCGCAGCTATTCATGATACAAAAAAAAAAAAAAAAAAAACCATTTGAAGTTTGACACAGCTGCATTTAAACCGGAAACTGAAGAGTCTCTGCTATTTACTTTTCACCGTTTCCATCATGCAGTACGACTGATGGTCTGATAAAGCTTCAAATCATGTCGCCAGACTTGCTGATGCCATTTGTGGATGGAAACTTCCAAGCATACCAAGTGTATTCTGTCAAAACACCCATCTGTTAATCTCTCCGCCCAGCCGATTGCTTTTGGGTTGGATGGGAGCTTAAAGACCGACGGACTCAACGGAGAGGCATCGGGTCTGTCCACACGGTCGTGCTCTGGACAAGAAGGCCGGTTTGTGTGGTTGGTGTTCCGATTCATTGTTGTTGTGACATTGTTTTCTGCCAGTTAATTCAGTTATTTTGCTGTTATTGTGATTTGAAACGATATCGATTTGGATAGACAAAAACATGCCTCCGAGTCACTCATGATTGTCAAAATTCTTTGCGACGGAGGCTGAGATGAATGTCAGCTACATCTATTACTCCCATAAAAATTATGGTCATTTTTTAACTGTGCAAACGACCCGTCCAAGAATGTTCTCCCATGCTCGATGACCGTTCTTTTGATCTACACTTCAAAAGCATAGTTTAGAACAACTGGATTCACTGTTTTGGGTTTTGCTGGCACGGTAACATATGCCTATATAGTCGTTCTGAGGACTGAGCTCAAAAACCGATATTCAGAAACTCATCTGAGAGTCTCTGAAAATAGTCTTCCCCAAACTTCTGTCACCTTGAATTCAGCCATTTTACCCCGACTGACACCCAAACTTCGTCTTCTGGTCTGGAGCGAGAACTCATCACCAGCTTAAGTGTAAATGGTTTACAACAGTGTGCCTTTGATTCACCAGGCACACAGATGTCTTTTAAAACAGTACTCGTTAAACGTGCTGCAAAATCTTGGCTACAGCTGAAAGCGACGTTGTGTATATAAAAGGTAAAACTGCTTCGTCAAGTTTTCAGGACTAAAGTGCAGTCTAATGTGAATCCATACATCACTCCCCCCTCCCCCCAACCAAGATCAGATCCCATGAATGCATCAACTGGAATGCTTTTATGCTGCTTTGGACTGTGAAAGGGAACAGCAGCTGTTTGCAACTTGGTCACTAAAGCACCATCATGCTCTGTATTGTTTATCGCAAGTGTTTATGTGTTTGTCAAAAAAAAAAATGATGCCCACACAAAGGACAGTATTAAAAATAAAAGTAGCAATTTTCTATAAAACTGTGTCGTCCATTTCATTACAAATAAGCGAAAGTGAAAGTTGGTTCAAAGGGATGAGGGGAGGTTGTCTTTCTGGACACGTTAACCCTTTCGTGCACCAATCCCTTTGTGACGTTGTTTTGGTTTGGGGTAATTTTCCGTGTTTGTCAAAGCCAAGAACGTATGACAAAATGTTTTTTTTTTTGTTTTGTTTTGGTTTTTTTTTACCATTTGTGGTTTTCTTGTGAATGCATCATTGGCTTCTTCAACGTAACCGAACATTATGTTTAAATCAAGAAAATGGTCCAATCAGGGAATCAAAGCAACATGCTTTCGGTGCAAATTGGGACATTGTGTCATTTGGTCAAAAGTATAATCAACCTATTTCAGACATGTGGCGTAATGTGCTTCCTGTTTAAAAGATCTTCTTACACACAGACTATTTCGAGGTGCCGGGGCTGCTCGATGGGGCTCCAATTATGGGAACAATCATCTGGTAGTAATAGATGTAGCAGAGCCCTCTTGGGGGCTGCACCGATAAAGAAAGCAGAGGTTAAAAGAGCACTGCAGACAGATCGTTTTAATAATGAAAACTAAACCATAAGACTGCCATCATGCGGATGACTTGTATTTTATCAATGAAGACAAACTACTATCGTGGCACCATGAATTGCAGTCCCACGACATCCTCAAGACTGTTTTGGAACCCTAAAAAAAAGTCGTTCATTCCCTTTTAGTACGTCAGATGAGCAAGGTAAATTTGACATCAGCATTGTATCGAACTTGTGGGGGGAAGGTTGTCACACACAGTCACTTTTGCAGTGGTCAACTTTGTCTCATTCTCGCGTGGATAGGTTCACGTCGTTTCCCGTAAACGTGCTTTGCACGCACATATCTCCTGCACGGACTCCAGTGAGTCTGTTATGCTTCCACAAAGTAGACCACAAGGGAATGAGGGGAGACGTTTCATTTGGCCGGGAATCAAATCGGCTGGGTTCAGTCCTACAACGAACAAAATTCACTTGCAAAAATTACAATGTGAACCACACCAAAACTAAAAAAAATTAGGTCCGCTTTTGGTCCGGACCAAACAAGCATACCAAAAGACTTTTCTGGTGTAAATACACCCTCTAGCATTAAAAAAAAAGATCTATAAAACATATATGAGGGATTTTTGTCTTTACAACCTGTCCCCCATCATATCCCACGGTATTTTGAAACTAATCACTCTTATCACTAGACAAATAAAATAGACATGGGCAAAGCCCTACAGGCCATGGATACTTGGTTCTATCTGCAGCCCATGACGGGAGGAAGTAAGGTAATCAACACATCTGTCACATCGCGGCTTATCAAGCCAAATCTTTCCATGCCAAACAAAACAACGGTTGGTGAACAAGTGACTAAAGTTGGGCATTCCGTTGCTGAGCGGCTTCCCTTCAGGAACCACTTAAAACCACGCTGTTGAGCCTAATTGCCGGCTCTAAATGGCCTCCGGGCGTGGATGTGTTTGACTGCTTGCTTGTCTTTGCACGTCAACCCTGAATGGCCTTTAGGCTGATATCAACTGGGATTGACACCAGCCCGTGGTCCTCTTTAAAAAAAAAAAAAAAAAAAAAAAAAAGTGCTAATAATAGAAGAATAAACAAATACTGTTGTGTTTCACATTTCCCGTAATATGAATGTAAACCTTTACACAAATCCATTTACAGTGTGTGCATTATTAACAATGAACACTGGGATCAAATTGGATTACCTTTTTAAGTGAATGATGGTCGGTAAATTTGGATTTAACTGCAGCATTCGATACAGTGGATTCAGAGTATTCTGTTGGCTCATTTGCAGCACCTAGTGGGCATTGGTGGTAGCGCCTATGAGTGGTTTAGGTCCTATTTAGCTGACAGAACCTTTTGTGTCAGCCTTGGTCACTCTGAGTCACAAACTGCCCCACTGTCGTGTGGTGTTCCACAGGGCTCAATTCTGGGGCCTGTGCTGTTCTCACTTTATCTGCTCCCATTGGGTTCTATCTCAAGGAAACATGTTATTTCTTTCCACTGCTATGCAGATGACTGTCAGATCTACGTCCCGCTGAGCAAAAAAGACGCTTTCTCATTGAGGCCAATTTCTTGAATTTCACTGAAAAGAAGACAAAAGAGATAGTGTCTGGTCCCAGTGGCTGTTGCACATCCCATCCTATGGACCTGGGCCCCTGGCTCCTTATTTTAACACAACAGTCTCGAACTTGGGTCTGAAACTGGACAGTGATTTTAAATTGCACCGGCAAATTGGTGCCGTTGTTAAATCCAGCTTCTTTCATTTTAGGGCAGCTGGCTGAAGTAAAACCTCTCCTTTCTCATGAGCACTTTGAGACAGTAACTCATGCCTTTGTCACTGATTTTTAGTTTGACTCCTTTTGTGCTTTCCCCAGTCTTTGTTCTTAATTTATTGTTTTTTTGTTGTTTTAATTATTTTATCTCCATGTATAGCACTTTGTATACGGTGGTGGTTGTTTTAAAGTGCTCTATAAAATACAATTGAGTTGAGAGAATCTGAAAACTGGTTGTTTTGTCTTAGTTTCTTCTGAGGCAAACCCAATGAATGAAGACATAGTCCGCTGTTACGCTTTGAAAGACGACCCAACGTTTACTTGAATTAGCTTTAATTGGCAGGTGAAAGCCAAAGGTCCCTTATTACCCAAGACCCTTAATGACTTCCATGCTCTTTGAGGCATGAATCTGAAGTCTCGGACTGCCATTAAAAAAAAAAATAAAAAAAGTGAGCAAATTGTGGGTCACTCACTGACTGACTCCATTATTTCCTGTAATTGCCCCAATACTTTTTAGAAGGGATGTCAGGTCTTTTTGCGAGTCTTTGGCCCATCTCCAGGCCCCAAGGGCCAGGGTAGGGCGATGTTGTGATAAGAGGTGGCATGACAGCAGAGAGCAGGATTAACAACCTTTGCCGGCTCGCTCTGCAAAACATAACACACCCGACTTAATATGAGCAACGGGCTGTCAGCCATGTGTTCGCCAACATGGGAAGGTGCAGTCATGCATGTGGAACAATGAGATTGAGGTTAAACCCTGTTTACCTGTATTGTAAGAGATGGGGGGGGGGGTCATACATTTTATTTCAAGGCTGTATCGCCCAGTCCCACTGTCATGGTTTTAATTTAACGAGCACATTTCGGTGAACGTTTCTTGTTCAACGGCATTCACAGTTTGTAAATGTTTACTGCTGCGGCTTAAGAAAACCACAATTTGGCATTAAAGCGAACCTCAACTGTGTCACCATCATCTGAGAGTGAAGGAGACTCTCACACAGGAGATAAATGCATCCAGTTGCGCCCACATGAGACATTGCATGACAGTGACACGCAACTAAGAGTTGTAGTTGCACAACGTCGTAGCGCTTGTAAAGGGACAGTCTCGGTTAGAACTTTGGATTTGGGGATTTCAATGGTGCAATTTATCCATCCATCCATCCATCCATTTTCTGAACTGCTTTATCCTCACAAGGGTGGCGGGGGGTGCTGGAGCCTATCCCAGCCGTCT